AGACTCCAGATTTTTGCCTCTCTTGAAAAATCTAAAAATTTTGCTATATTCTGGGGCCACATTCTCAATTGTCATCTTCAGCTAAAGATGAGAAATAGCTGCCTCCCTGCTTCCAGGAGGGACACCGTCCTCCAGTCACTGTCCCTGTCATTCCCTCCTGGCCTGGCCTGCTCACTCAGGTTACCTTCTCATCTTCAACAGGCATTTGTTGCTGGAGGCTAAAGCAAACAGCAGTTAGCATGAAAGTGCAAAAGAGACATTGGAAGGCCAATGGACTTTGATATTCAGCAGGGCTGCCCTGCTGTGATTGCAATGGCTTGAGGAGATTTCCTGACCTGATAATCTTTACATTGTATACCAAACTTTACCTTTGATCTGTCTGTACACATTGCTAAAGGGCAAATGTGTATTCAAAGTGAATAAAAAGGTAATGGACTGGTCTCGGTGAACCTCTTCACAAGAGGTTTCCACTGGTCCCCCAATGCCTTCCAAATTCATATTTCTTATATAACATTTTCATTTGTGCATTGGCCCCTCCTGCAGATCCTGAACCCCACCGTGCAGGTCACAGCAATTTGTGTCTGCACCCATCAAATATAAAACTGAATAAATGATAATGGTTATAAAGAATATATTATACTAGAGGCCCAGTGCACAAAATCCATGCAGGGGGGGGTGCCCCAGCCCAACCTGTACCCTCTCCAATGTGGGAGCCCTTGGGGATTGGGCCTAAACTGGCAGTTGGACATCCCTCTTGCAATCCGGGACCTCTGGCTCCTAACCGCTCACCTGCCTACTTGCCCTAACCACTCTGCCTGCCTGCCTGCCTACCTGATCCCCCTAACTTCCCTCCCCTGCTGGCCTGGTCACCCCTAACTTCCCTCCCCTGCTGGCCTGGTCACCCCTAACTGCCCTCCCCTGCTGGCCTGGTCACCCCTATTAACTTTTTTAAAAAATCTTATCCCCTTCACACACAATTGTATTTGACTCCTTATTGGCTTCTCCCTCTCACACAATTTTTCTCTTTCCTTTATGTAACACTTTTTCCTACTGACTCATCATTTATAAACTTTTCTTTCCTCCTTATTTCCTACTTCTGTTCATCATCCCTAACCCTCCCCCCGTCTTCCCCCCCCGCCCCCCCGGGCTATGAGGGACTGAGCAATGACACAGCTGTGTCTTGCCTACTGTGGCCCGCGCCTCCCCCCTCTGAGTTGGGGGAGGGTCCACCGGCTGGGCCTGAGTCCATCATGGGGATCGGGTACCACTGTGTTACGTGTGCGAGGCTTTGCTCCCGTTGAGTGTTGAGTGCCAGCGTGCCCGCTCCCACACCTCGAGCGGCTCTCCATCTGCTCCCCTCTGGAATTCGCAGGCATGGTTGGGCCTGGCTTGTCCTGGGGCGGGGGCATTCCGCCCAGGATGTGAGCCCCCGTCTGGGTAGGACAGGAAGATGAATGAATGGAAGGCTGGAGAAAGCCACGGCGGCTTCCCCGTGGTGTGAGGGTGGCCTGTGCACTCTCTGTTGTCGCGCCTGGGCCCTTTTGCCAACCACGCTGAGAACTGGCCGTCTGCTGTGCAGGTGCCACCCCTTGGTGGGGGGGTTGGTGGCGTCCCCGGGCAGGGTGCTCTCCAACGGGGTGCGGTATGGCGGGGGTGTTTGTCAGGCACATGCACCCGGGAGAAAAAGAGGACTCCAGTGAGCCTCACGCAAGTCCCCCTGCTGTGTGCGCACCTGCTGGTCTGTCAATATGCAAATCGGTCATTACTTGGGCACCATAACGGACAAATTAGCATATTCCCTCTTTATTATATAGGATATTTATATGTATACATACATATATATATGATGTGACAGTGAAATCACTAAGTTAATTAGATATTAGTCTAATAATTCAACAAGTAATTAATTCCCAGCACTAGATCAGAGCTATGTGCACGGCGTGATGGAGAACACAGGTTTGCAGAGGAGCTCCTGTCCTCACAGAGTTACTCAAGGCCCTGACCTCAGGTCAGAGTTCCACACAGAGCAAAGTCAAAGGAAGTCTTAAGATAGAAAATAACCAAGTATTGTAACCGGACAATCAATGTGTCCGGCTGCCTGTCACTACTTGAGCCAATTAAGCAGAGACAGGGTTGAATATATATATGAGCGTTTATTCCAATCCTGCCGGCAGCAGGTCAACCACAGAAATCTGCTCTGTTCCCCACCACAAACCAGCTGCTTATATAGGGTGGGAGGGGGATTACATGGGGAAGTATGGGTTACAGGCATGGGGCTATGCAGGTTGGGGTGGAACTGCATTGTTTGGGCAACAAGGTTGTTCATCTTTCCATGTTAATAGGCAGTTCTTGAATGAGAATGGACCGCATTCAAAGGTTGGCTTCCAGGTCCTGGGGGCGTTCAACTCCCAGCCAGGTTAGAATGTCCTTTCTTTAACCAACACAAGGCAATCATGGTTAACAGAGCATGGTTAATATTACCCTTAACCATAGCTAGTCCCCAATATTCTATTTCTGCCCCTAACAGTATCAAAATTAGATTGACGTGGGCTGCTTGTTGAGGATTAGAGCCAGGAAGGGACGGCGTGGTGAGCAGGCCCAGAGGATTGTGTGTGGGGAGCCTTGAGCAGGCCCCGTAGAGCAAGCCTGTCAAACTCGCGGCTTGCGGGCTGCATGCGGCCCACAACAAATATTTTTGCGGCCCAGGCAATATAACGGGTATGTAAGAAATGTTTTAATAAAAATTTTGTAACTTAGATATCCTGTTATACATAATTATTAATAACGAACTACAACGTTCGCTAATGACTGGTTACTACAATCGTGTTGCATTCATTTCCCTTACGCACCTTACGCTCAGGCGCACCATTTCTCTCCACTAATATTAGCAGCGAATATTTTAGCAGCTGATGGCCACGTCATTAGTCGTGGACTGACTTGTTTGGTGTGTGCAACAGGAAATATTTCGCTTTCAGAGAACAAGAAAAATAGGCTTACTTGCGTTATGCTTATTAATTTGTGCAGTTTTTCTGTGTCTGGTAAGTTAATGTTCAAGAAAAAATAATTTTTATTAAAATGTTCTATTATTTTATGTTAACGATGACTCATTTATTTCAGCTCTTTGTATTCAGCATGTCTCTATCAAAATAAACCTACCTTTCTATGAAAATTGAAGCTTTTGTTTTTTGCAGCCACATACACATACCTTGTTTATTTGGCCTGTGTTAGCCTTTGAGTTTGACATGCTTGCTGTGTGGAGGACTGTGTGTGGGGAGCATAGCTGAGCCACCCTGCTGGCAGCAGTGTGCGAAGACGGTGAGGATGGCAGCCGACGTTGGAGGCCAGAGCTCAGACTGAACCCCTTGCTCAAGGGTATGGACAGTGTTCTGGAAGCAAAAAAAAGAGGAAGCTTTTAAGATTTCTGAGTGAAAAGTGACAGAATGAAAGAAGCATTTTAGGGGTTTTTTAGGAAGATTCTCTCCCTTGAGGTTATGGATGTAAATAGGTTATAGGAAAAGACTAGAAGAAATAGGGAATCTAGCAGAACTGGCTGTAGTGATCCAGTTACTAATTCATTCTAAAAACTAGAGGCCCCGTGCAGGACATTTGTGTACTGGGGGAGGCTCCCTCACGCCTGCCCCGGGGGGGCCTGGTGCCCCGGCTGCAGAGCAAGCGGCTCCTGCGCCCGAGGCACAGTGATCCCTGCCTTTATATTCACATATTTTCCCCAGACATTCATTCAGAGTTTAACACCTCCCCCCCCCCCTGAGGGAGCTCTAAAGCCTCCCCCAATCTCCTTGAAATGTCTCAACCACAATACCCAAAGGAGCAGTCTGCATGCTTTTCTTTAGCTCCATCCAGTAAGTTCACAGAAAGAAACATATAAACACAGAAAACTAAATGGGCCTGAAAATACAGCTTTCCAACTCCATGGAAGCAACTAGACGATGGCATTACGCCAAACTGGCTGTTGCGACCCACCTCGTCTCAGATTGAGGGGATTCCTACAGACCTTCCGACTCCGCAGAAGCAAAACTACACCCCTACAGATACAGATGGAGGGTCGAGGCGTCCCCCGACTCCTCCCGCCCTTGATCACCATGTGCATCCACTAAAGATCATTGAAGGCGAATACAGATTTCAGAAGTGAGCTCACACAGGACAGATACACAACACACAGACACTTACCGCGGCCACGCAGATTCTACGGATTGAGGATCCCTACATGGTCTTGGGAACCCCGGGTGAGCCCCCAAATGTTGTGCCCAGATCTCAAGATCCCCAAGAAACCAACACCAGGGAGCCAGCCAGTCCCATGCAAAAGCATAAGAATCTGTATTTCAAGCTAGCTTGAGCTCCTCATCCACCAGACTCGCCGACACAATGGCAAGCCAAGTGGCCGAGAGAGGGAACCCCCGCGTAGAGACGGGCTTTATGGGGGGGGGGAGGGGGTTGGAGTAAGGGGAGGAGAAAGGACGTAGCCCTTACCCTGAGGCAAGATGGAGAGCGTAGCCCTCGGCCTTTCAGTACCTGTGGATGGCGTTTAATAGCGCGCTGCACCGACCAGGTGTGCTGAGTCCCCCGCCCCGGGAGCCGAGCCCGTCCACCCCCACCCCCCA